TTTTGTATTGAGTAGAGAAGCATGATCACTTGAAAATATGAATTATTAGAAAAGCATGACTAGAATGTGTTGTTTGATCAATGAGATTTGAAGCATATTTTGTTGATAGAAATATATAGAATTTGTTATGTTGCAAACCGAGTATGGTATTGAATTCTTAAGAATTTTATGATCTTTATATATGGTTTTGGAGCACGTTGTAGAGTATTTTTGCATCTCAAGTATATCATGTTTTATAAAGTGCATAAGTGGCCAACGTGAGTCCAAGTATTACTTTCAAAATCCATAAGCATGTGGTATATCATTATTTGACGCATTGAGAAGTTGTTGAGTTGTTGCATGCATGAGATTGATGCATGAGAGATATATTTATGTATTATCTATATCGGTGAGGTTTTGGAGGATCCCGTTTGGACTATGTCCTCTCGGATTATTTTATGGACATTGCAGTCCCAGTATATGTAACGCGGTGTATTCCCACGTTACGAGGTTGGAAACTGCCCGCCAGGCTTGGAATCTTGGTCAGGGGGTGTGCACGCTAATAGTTCGATACCTGATTCCATAGAGTTTGAGCATAGAACCAAGAGAGTGGTTCGGTGGACGAGCAGAGTATTAGGTCGGCTAGACGCCGTGCCCGAATAGGTTCATTCACACTATGGTGAAGTTCCTACCTCGCCCATTTAAAGAGAAAGAATGAGTCATTGCGACTCTAAGAAAGAAAGAAGTGAGTCATTGCGACTCTAAGAAAAGAAAGAAAGAAAGCAAGTCATTTATGACTCAATGAGACCTCCACAGAAAGTATTCTATTTTACAACGAGTGTATGAGTATATTTATAGTATTGCACAAGATTGCATATGAGTATAGTATTGCACGAGATTGCATATGAGTATAGTATTGCACGAGATTGCATATGAGTATAGTATTGCACGAGATTGCATTTGAGTAGAGTATTGCATGAGATTGCATAATGAGAGTGATGGTTCAAGATTGTATATCGAGCATGATTGTTTTGTTACATTTTGAAGTCTTGTATATCCAGTTTACATGATGAGAACTTGAAAGCATGAAGATAACTTTCATATGGTTTATTAGTATGAAATTGCTTGTAAGCATGAGTTCGTTATGATGAGTTCGTTGTGATAATTATGTGTTGGAATCTTTATGTTGTTAAGTCTTTTGTATTGAAGCATGTCTGTTGATATTATAGGTTGCAAACATATAGAAAGTCTATGATGTGACTATACTTGCCTATGAGATGAGATTGTTGATTATGAATGCTATCAAATGTTTTCCAAAGTATATTATATAGTACTTTGCAGGGTTGAGTGTGGTTATATTTAGCTTCGTGCTAACGGGTGTTTTCCTATTTGTTTATGTGTTGCTTGTAAAACCCCTTTCAGGTGGGCCCAACGTTGAGAAGTGAACGAGTTAGACTAGTCTAGTAGTTATAGAAGTCTAAACTCTTTATGTCTTGATTATGACTTTATTTACCGAATTTTAGATTTATGTTGTGGATGACGTTTGATGATGTAGACTTCGGGGTGTCTTTTTCCCCCTTATGACTTTCAGTTTTTATTAAGGATGTTAGTATTTAAATCTTTGTTTCTAGTTCTACCCTTAGCCTGTGCAATCACCACGGAGTGGTGATTGTGGCGGTGACATTCCCACTAGTTATCTTTTTAAGTTGTTTATCCGCTGCTTAGTTTATGTTAATTGTGGTTTTGAATTGTAATTAAGATTTAGAAAAAGTGGGGTGTTACATTCTTAGTGTATAAATAGCTTGTCATTTGCTTTGTAATTCTCACATCAATTCATCAACATTGAATTCTTCCTTCTTTGTCTTCTTCACGTAGACATACATATATATATTTGTGTTCTTTATTCTCTTTTTAGAGATTAATATATATATATATATATATATATATATATATATATATATATATATATATATATATATATATATATATATGTTATAATCTCCCAAATTAGCAATTGCCTTATTTTATCATTTATATATTTTTCCCTATTTATATTATTTAACTTCTATAATTCTCAATTTTCTATTCTTTGCTTCCGCATTATTCCTCTATATTCTTAACAACCTTGAATAAAATGACAAAACAAACAATGGAATAAGTATATTCCCAGGAACGGTATTTCATTCTTGACCTATTCCTTGAACCAAACACGTCATTAAGGTATTAGGGTTAGATAGGCCTCCGATTATAGTCATCGAATTAACTAAGGACATTTCATTTTCTTTTTTTAAAAAAGTGTTGAAATGAGTTTTGGTACTCTAACCTTGAAAACAACACAAAGTTTTTTTTTAAATAAAAAATAAAAAAAAAAATTGGAAATTCAGTTAACAAACACGGATGAATGACGATAGACCAGTGACTCAGTGTGTCTTTTTTGTAATAAAAGCATTACTACAAAAGCCAAACATACATCTATTACTGCTATAACTAAGAGCATCAATAATTGTGGAGATACATGAACATAAATACACATTCAATTACAAGGATTATAAGTTAAAATCGATAAACATGCAATTTTCAAACTAGAAATATAATTCAAATATTGAATAGAATGTTGTATAATGATTACTTCATAAAATCATAAAAACAAAATAGATACCGTGTTTGACTTTCATAATAGGAAACGAGCGTTCTGAGAATATGAAATATGTATACTCATAGAAAAAAGGATTTAATAGCGTTCTGAGATATGTATAATCTTAGAAAAATAGATTTAATGGCATTAAATTGACAGGAATTATATAAAGAAATTGATGGTTATATACCTCTACTAAAGTTGATGTAGTGAATTGATGTTAAGCTTTGCTGGTGTTGTTTACAATTGTGTAGCGAGATGTTTGCCTGTTAGATCAGACAAAATTGTGATAATCATAGATTGACGTGACACAGACACCTTTCGATGGTTTTTCGCTAGTTTCTCCAGGAGTACTTCTCAACTCCTCTTTGGTGGCACTTCTCAGCTCACTTTGGTGCTTGCTCACCTGTGGAAATGGACATTCAGCTTAAAATTTTCCTAGTCTCCGGCAATTGTAACATAAATTCTGACACTCTTCTACCATGTTACTTCTCAAGCTGGATGACCTCTCAGATGATCTTCTCGTTGACGAAGATGAACTCGCTTGACTTCTTGGAGGGTTGTTCTTCCTCATTAACCTTTTAAATTTTCTCACAAACATAGCAAATTGTTTGTCAATTAAAAATTCAAAAGGGTTACCAAGACTATGTGGTCTAATGGTACCCGGGTTGGACTTAGGGGTGGGCGTAATTCGGATTATCCGAATAACACCCGAAACCCGAACCGAATTTTAAATTTTGGGTGAACCCAAATAGTTATCGGTTCGGATATTTTAAATTTTGGTATATCCGAATATAAATTCGGTTCGGATATCAGATGTTAAAAATTCTATCCACACCCGACCCGAAAACCGAACTAACCGATATTTTATTATAAATATAATAATATAATATATATTTAGTTTTAAATGTATTTCATAATTAATAATATATTAATTTTTTAAATTCTATTGGTTAATTATTAGTATTTGTCTTATTTTTAGTTTGATACTATATGAAAAAATATAAATAATAAAATAATAAAATCATTAAAAAAAATTCAAAATTGATAAAACAATATTTTAGGTATATCCAAACTAACCCGAAATAATTTCACCCGAACCGAACATATCCGAATTAAATTTGGTTCGGATATCGGGTGTAAAAAACATCACCCGAAATTTTCGAATATCCGAAATAAAATTCGGGTATCACCCGAACCGAACCGACGCCCACCCCTAGTTGGACTTTCATTTAAAAGGTTATGAGTTCGAGCCTCAGTGGAAGCATTATTGGTTCTTTGTGTTTCAATAGGTTGAGAAAACATATGAATAGATACTACATTGTAATAGAGCCAGTAGCATTAAAAACAAAAGACTTTGGTAGTCCACGGAGAATTATCAGGTTGATCTCCTTTTTGCGAAATATCTCTTCCGAGATTACTTATCTTGCCTATCAACTTCATGAATCGTTACTCCATCTTGGCAATTCACCATTTGAAAATCCTCCAAATTTCTTTATGGCTATGGTTAGCTTATTTTCCTTCTCTTGTTCGTCCCCCTCGCCAATCTGGAGAAGAACTTGCCGAATCTCCTTTGTTGATGCGCATTTCCTTATTCTCGGGAAGATATTCTCATCAACCTCCTTCAAACCGATGTCCTTGGCGATGTTGTCAAGGTTGTTCCTTTTCCTATCCTCATTTCTCCATTCTTGTTGAGGCATGATAACATATCTTGGTTTATTTGCATTCTGTACAGTAGCTGTGTTCACCAACCCTCACCATGACACCCAGCCGCCAAAAAGATCCCCTCAAAGTAATCCACCACCACCGAACCCAACCCCTCCCCCTCAATCCACTCCCCCACCCTATTTTTCAACTTACTAATGTGATTTTTCTTCCTCTTGTTAGACGTCGAAAGGTGGAAAAACCTAGTAAGTATTCCTCCCTCAACCAATGTTGCTTAGCCCTCTACCTCTAGTATGCATCCTCATGCTTCTACAAAAGAAGCAGCTCCTTACAATTAAATTCCTCCAGTGAAGCCTGATAAGTCTTACCCCTCAAAAGTCCTATCTCCTTCTGTAACTAACTCCACTAATACAAAATTGAACATAGAAGATTGACCATATGCCACCATTGTTGAATGAATGGTTGCCTAATCTTAGCCTAAACATTTGCGGTGACAATTTTGTAAATAAGTGGTCAATAATCCGCCACCATTGTCAGTTGTAATGGTTGCTCATTGTATTTTGTATTTATTTAAAAAAAAATTAATTTATAAAAGGCAACCATTTTTATTAGAAATGGTTGCCTTAAAATATAATTTGTTTTATAATAGACAACCATTTCTATTAGAAATGGTTGCCTAATATTAACCCTAGATTTACCCATCCATCAAATCTGATATGCTCATCCTCTCATACCCAACACCGCGTCTGCTCATCCTCTCATACCCAACACAGTCTGCTCCGACCTACCGATCTGCTCCAATCTTCAACACCGTCTGCCGATAGTCTGACGCCGCCGGCCACCTACCGTCGTCTGCTTCGTTCACCGCGACGCACCGCCACAGCCACGGCCATCAAAATCGCATCTCAGATCTAAAATCTTCATCCGCCGTCTGCTTCGATCGCCTCACCGCCACCACGCCGTTGGCCTCACGACCTCCACGGTGACGACGATCTGCCGATGTGCACCACACCGTGACAAGTCACTGACCGTGGTAATGCAACAGTTACCGGAGGCGAGATGTGGAACCAACCTTACCGGAAATCTGACGTGGAGGCCGGCAGCTATATCCCACGATGCTCGAGAATCCGCAACTCTGGTGGTCATTCATTCGCAAGGTGCACTCGATTGTGAGTATCCAACTCCTCCTCACCGTCGCAGTTGCTGCCGTCGTCGTCACTGTTCACCCTATCAAACACTTCTTTGCATCCACCGGAGCTGGCTTGGCTGTCTATATTGTTCTCATCATCACTCCATTCATCGGTATATGCTCCTTCAACTTCTCTTCCGTTTTAAATTTTTTGTTGTGGTGTTAATTTTTGCAATTTGTTCCTCAATTTCTATTATAAATTGATTTAGAAACTGTAAATTTAAACTTATTAATATTGTATCTATATACTATGTATGGATTCTATGGAATGCGGAGTATAATTTATTTTAGGAATTACACTTGCACTATTTTAAGAAATATGTAAATTAAAATGCATTTGCATAAAGCAAAACTGGATAAAGCTTTTAGTATAGAGTTTTTACTTTTTACTTTGGTTTACATCTCACTCTTGTATTTAATCTTAAATATACTTGAATTTTCATGACATTTGTTATTATGTGTTTTTTAAATGATTATTTTGTTTTGTTTAGTTATTTACTTCTCCATATGTTTAAAACTGTGAATTTAATTTAATTATTTAAAGTGTTGTTCCCTTTGTATTACTATCACCAGAGGCATCCCTACAACTACTTCCTGCTCGGCATTTTCACAGTTGCTATTTCCTTTGCCGTGGGATTGACTTGTGCATTCACCAAAGGCAAGCATTTCAATTTTGTTTCTTACTTTTTTTTTTCCTTCCAAGTAAAGTTCTCTTTGTTGTTGGATGATATGATGTTGCTGGAGTTCCTTGGCGTGCATGCTGTTGTATTACTCCAAATTTTGGATAGGATATATTCTTTTCTTGTGTTCAATGGACAATATAATGGTGATTCCTTGATTTCGTTCTATTGCATCCATCACAATCTATATATATTTTACACCCAAATTGAATTTTTTTTTAGATATCTGCTAGCAGAGTTGATTTATTTAGGATATCCTAAAATTAATTCAGATATCATTGACTCCAACTTTGTTGATCACATTAAGCAATAGACCAAGTCAGCCTCTTTCAGTATGATATTATATCTTCATATATGTAGTATAATGCATGGATCATATTATATATTAAAACTCATGTTTGGTTTCATCATCCTCACCTTAATATATTGTCTGAAAATGATCCCTCTTCATCTTCCTTTTCTGCTTGCCAAATTGAGTCTTTAACCACAAAAGGGCTATTTTACTTAGTCTAAAACTAGGATCTTTGAAAGATTGAGAAACCCATAATATAGTAGCAGAAACCAAAGATGACGGCTAAGAACACTTTTCTCCATTTCTATTTGCAATGGGGAACTGGTTTTCTTCTTCCATTTGTGTTGCTCATCTTCTTTCCTCTTCCATGTTCACCAGCTTCTCTCAATGGGCATTTCAGGGACTCACAGCAACTGTTATCTTTCAAAGCTAGGATTTTTAACCAAATACCATTTCAAAACTGGGTATCCTCCACAAGCCCCTGTAGCTTCACTGGTGTTACATGCAAGGGATTAAGGGTCTATTCTGTAGATTTTTCTATATGTATTTTCCAAATTTTATTTTGGTGATCATATACAGGAACTTGGGGCTGAATTGCGGCATCTTACAAGAGAACCAGTTCAAACAGATTGTACTAAAGTTGTTTATCTCGTTCGAGCTCAGCTTGACTTAATGAAGAGCATTTGCTCGCAAATTCACCATGATACTTCTAAGGGTATTCAAAGAGATTATTTTTTGTATTTTGTTCCTCGTCGTGCAGTTGTATGTGAAAAGGTTTATTCCCTGTCCTAGCTTATGTTGGAATTATTTCACGCTTGAGATCTTGGTGTATTTTGTCCCTAACTTTGTGTGCAATACAGATACTTGAGGAAGAGAAAGTTCACCACTTGTTGACTATAGGCGAGTATCCCTTGTATCTACTTCCACTTGATGATGATGTTTTGTATTTGGTCCTTTAATTGCCATTTGCAGTGCAATTGCAGGTTCTACGTCAAAGAGCAACATCCATGAAGCAAGATTACACTGAGATGCAGTCTACTGTAAGGCCACATATTCATAAATGTGCATGGAATGCTTTGACTTTTGATACCTGATTAGACCTTCTAAGACTTGTGCAGTCATTTTGGTTCCAGCAACAAAATTAATTAGCCCACTTAGCAAATGAATTCAATAGAGAATGCTTAAGTTTTTATTTTATGTATAACTTGAAGTCAAAGGCTGCAGCCTCGGTGGTGTTCTCTTTTTATGAGCTCCAAATAAACTAATTCAATAATTTGTTTACATTTTTACCTATGTTGTGTATATTCAATACCAAGAGATTTTTTCCATTGGATGTGCTATATTATAGAAGTCCATATATAATTCGTTGTTGTGTATTTGATGCAGAGCCAATCAGTTTCTGAATTGAAAGATTTTGTTAAAAAACCCAACTCGTTGCCTGAAATGACAGTAAGTTCATTAATTCATATGTACTCCAGATTAGTTAACATCCATTTTCAGTAGTGTCAAAATATAGTGATACTAATTGCTTTTTCTCTCCTTTTCAGAGGCATATTAATCTTGCTCAGCATTTGACTAAATTTACATCTAAACCTTCATTTCTTGGGCGGCTTGATATGGAACACACTATTGTGGAGTCTGAAAGTTATGATATGTAAGTTACATTTTAACTTTCATTCTGTTATTGGTTGGGAATCAAGAAGAAATGTCTTATGCAATACTATTACTTACTATAAAGGCTATCATATTTTATAATGTTCCAAGGTATGGGGTGATGACTGTTTCCCATATTGCTTTTAAAAAAAACATATTTGTGTTACTAATAAGCCCACTCTTTATGTCTAAGCATGCACTTCTATCACATTAAGTTATGTATACTGTATACATGAAGGTTATCCTCACTTAAGTTTCTCTCTCTATTTGGTGTTAACACCCTACTAGAGTTTCTTTGATTTTCTTTTCTTCCTTGTAATTTACCGTAACATCTTTTGTTATGACAGTTTCTCGTTCATTCTCTATATTTGGTTACTTTGGTTCATCTTCTATTTTTGAAAAATGGAACTAAGTTTTTTCTTTTGCCATCACAACATTTTAGTACTCAGAAAATATGTGACATCCTTGTAACTTCATCTGTCTCAGTTTACGTCCAAGTTTTAATTCATCTAAATATTAATTGCAGCATTTCAAACTAGCATTTTTGTGTAACTATTGAGGGTAAACATGAAAGCTAATGCTATATTTGGATACAGATGCATGGAGTACATTGAAGAGATGATCCATAAGCAGGAACCTCTTCTCAATGTTCTACGCCTTCTCATCTTATTTTCAATCACAAATTCTGGATTACCAAAAAGGAATTTTGACTATTTAAGGCAAGTGGAATATAAATGACATCTTCTATAAATTACTTATTTTCTGTCTGTCACTTTATTTCAAATTTCTTTGTTCCCTATGCTGTTGGCTATCATTGGAGAGTAAGCATATTTCAGTTTTTCTTGTCTTTTATTTAGGCGGGAGTTACTTCACAGCTATGGTTTTGAGCACATGGCAACCTTGAATAATTTGGAAAAAGCGGGATTGGAAAAACCTTGATGTAATACCGACTTCTGTTACCCACTGTTATTTATTCTTTTTATGATATATTCTCATTTCATTAGACTTGTGCTTTCCTACATCTGTCACATATTAGGTATCTATTTTGATGTTGAAAACTTGGTGCTTTTTCTGTAATCCTTTCAGTAAGTGTAAATTAGGCCATTAAATTCTTTCATGAGTTAAATGAACTAATTAATTGTTGATATACAACATTCATGCTTGAGTCACATGACACATTTATTCATTCTGTAATGAATAATGAGATTACTTACCTTTTAAGAAGTAATCTACTTTCATTGTTTTAGTCTCTATATAATAGCTTTCTTATATTGTTTCAATTCTTTTCTAATTCAATTCATTCATTGATTAGTTAAGTGACAAGCATAAATAAATATAGAATTGTAAATATGTAATTTCATTTATTGTTTTTTATTTTCATAATGGTTGTGTGAAGAATTACATGGCGCAAAATAAATATAGTTTTAAAATTATTTTTTTTATTTTTTAAAAACAGTATCCGCGACCATTCTTTGTTGAAGAATGGTCGCGGAAAGTTGATTTAAAAAAAAAAAAAAAAAAAAACTATACGCGACCATTCCTATCTAAGAATGGTCGTGTATTACATTTGAATAAAAAAATAAAAAAACAATACGCGACCATTCTTTGTCAAGAATGGTCGCGTATTACCGACAATGCGCGACCATTTCTAAATGGTCGCGTAAAGTCCATGACTTTCTGTGAGCCTCTCATAGGCGACCATTGTACAATGGTCGCCTATTGTCTTTTACAATGGTAGCCTATTTGCAATTTTGTACTAGTGCTCCACAATGCGTATCCCAAACTTGTGGTACTAGTCACCTCGCCAACTTCTCCCCACACAACCTCTGCTTGCCCTCTAACCCCTCGCCACTCGCCCCTTCCCACGCCTCCTTTACCACCCCCCAATCTAACAGCCAAGCATTCTCAAACCTAAACCTCCTCCTTCTTCCCCTATTCTGCAGCTTATAAATGTCAAGGAAAAGAGCCGAATGATCTGAGGAAGGAGTGTCCAAATTGAAAATCATCACTCCCTCATGCAAATCACACCCCTAATGTTTAATTAGTCATATGGTTATTCCAACCACCCCTAATATTTCTTGTAGAGTTAACTTTTATAATTTATTTATCATTGGACCATATTAATTGCCTCCTTAATTACTATGTTACAGTTCTCCCATCTATAGAATCTCATCTAACATTTGTCAATTCTATAATAACATCCTCTTAAAAGAGTGTAACTACGCATTTCCTCCATGTTAATTAATTACTGATGATTTTAAAATTATCTTGTTAATTTTTTTTCCTTTTTTTTTTTTTCATTTCCCTCGTGACTAATTTAATGAAACTATAGCATTATTGAAGTATACACTCTCATAAAATATAAATAATATTTTTCCTCTCAAACCAAATTGTGCTATAGTTGTTGGACGAGGACATCCAATAGACTTGGATTCGCTACCACTTTCCAATAGTTATATGTATAATTGATTAATTGTTTTTTTTTAAAAAAAAATAGTCTCAATACTTTTATGTAATTACATCAAAATGAGTTTTTAATATGTTAGTATGGTATCATGTTTACAAAATTAAATTAAAGTAATTCTTTTTTTGAATACTATTAACTTTATTACAAGGTTGTATCTGTTCTATATTTTCTCGTCCAAAAAGTCAATACCTCACCACCGGGGTTTAATCTTGTGACCTTCCCTCAAAGAGAGCCACAAAAGTGTCATCTGAACACAAGGTGCTTGGCAAATTAAAGTATTTAAATATACTTAAAATATATCTTTCTTTCACTTCTTAGATTAATATTCCAATAATTACTTGCACAACTTAAAAAAAAAAATTAATATATCTTTTAAAAGCATGATATGGTATAATGTACTGTTCTAATTTTGCATACCAAAACTTGCCAAAAAGACAAACAAAAGAATAGCTCTTAATCAATTGAGTTCGTGGACCCTATTTTGAATACGAGATATCTTAGTTTGTTGTTCAAGTATATATATATATATATATATATATATATATATATATATATATATATATATATATATATATATATATATATATATTGTTGGTAATGATATGGCACTTAGTGACATTGTTGTCACCATGTGGTCGGAGTTATTGAATGATTGATCTAATGGATACTTTCCTTCTTTGGTTATTGGTGGAACCATTGTATAGTGCATACATTTTCATTCTCTATTTCATAATTGTGACAATTCAAAAGTAGTTTGTTTTACACTACAATTGTTATGTATAGTTATTATAGACTGCCTCTATCTTAATGTATTACATCCAACACCTTTACATAACATATTGTTCGGACAATCTCTACCAAATTGGTCAGAAGTTCGACTCCAAGTGGGCGCAAATTATGTTGTGCAATCATGTTATTCGTGTGCACCATGCATGGTGTACACGGCTGTAAAACGACACCGTTTACTGTGATGGAGTAACGGTGCCATTAGTGGCACCATTTAACTCCACCAATCAATTTTATTTTTTTTTACAAAAACTTCAATCGACGTGTAATTATGAATATATAGTTATGCAAGTCTGAATATATAGTTATGAAGTTATGAATATATAGTTATGAAGTTATGGATATATAGTTTTGAAATTATGAATATATAGTTTTGAAATTATGGATATGTAGTTATGCAATTATGAATATAGTTCTTTGTGAACAAGCATTTTAAGAATTCTGAATATGGAGTTATGTAATTATGAATGTCTAGTTGTGAAATTATGAATATATGGATATGAAATTATGAATGTGTAGTTATTATTTCTGAATGTACTGTTGTCAAATTATGAATATATAGTTATGTAATTCTGGATATATAGTTATGTAATTGTGGATATATAGGTATGAAATTATGGATATATCCTATTGTTTGAATACGAAAGGGAACCGGCTAACGTCGTTAACGACAATCCGAACGGGATTTTTTTTAAAAATGAAACGGCATCGTTTTGCAACCGTGTACACCATGCATGGTGCACACTGTTGCACAGCATAACGATTGCCAAGTGGGAGCAACATATTGGCCTCTTAGTTTGGACCGGTCAGCTATGGCTAACCTAAGTTGGTTTATGTCCTTGTGATCTTTTGCCATCTAAGGTCGCAAGGCAGGGTTTACCCAGTGCACATCCTCAAATAGTATTTGTAGATTTCTCTTGTGATCCAACCAAAAAAACAAAAAACAAAAAAAAAAAACAAAACAAAACAAAAAAAAAAACAAAGTTGATTTAACTTTATTCATATTACTAGGTAACTTAAGCGCATAGTGTATTTAAATTAATGTCCAATAATAAAAGAAATTGTAAAATTACATTATCAAACTAATTTTTTTAAAAGCTATTGACTCTAAAGCACAAAGAGTCAACACCGCTTCCACTAAGGCTCAATCTCATGACCTCCCATATGGGAGAATCACTACATGTCATCTGAGCACAAAGTGCTCGGCAAAAGACAACATTATCAAAATAAATATAAAACTATTATAATTTTATAAAACTATTAGTTTATTTAAATTGTTAATTTGTTTAGAATTTTATATTTATTGATCATATTTTATTCTAACAAAATATTTGTACAATATATTAAGTAATTGAAATCATCATGAATCATATTCAACATTTAACGATTTATACTATCAAATACGAGTATATAATTATATGTAGTTGAATAATAAAAGAGAAAGAGGTAGAGATTTCTATAATGGTTCGGCCAAGCCCAGCCTACTCCAATCATCTCCTTAAACTCTATAAGAAGGTTTGCACTAAACCCTTTAGTACAAGATGACCCCTCAAGCTTTGAACACAAAGCTGGCCTTGAGTGTCTAAGTTTTTCAACTCCACACGAGTTTACTCTTCCTCTTTCTACTCCTATCGAGTAGAGATACAAAAATTTTCAACAAAAGATTGTTGAATCTCCAACACGTAGACTTGGCTCTTGGATCTTGACTTGAATCTTCATTGTTCGTCAGCCAAAGTCCCATCTGGATGTATCTTTGTAGCTTAATTTCTCTCTCACAGTGTTCACTTGACAAAACAATTAAAAGCTTTTGAACACTTATAAATTTTTACTTGATTGACCAACTCCTTCTTCAATCTTGAGCGAAGGTATTTATAGGCGTTTTGAAATAAATCCATTGGATAGAAATCTATTTCAAACGTCTTTTAATCATTGGGTAATGACCAGTGGACAATTCAAAAGGTTACTTTTGTGTCAGATTTTTCAGCTGTTGGACCTCTTTTATTTGCTGAACTTTACTTTTTGTTCTACTCTTTTGTCCAAAATCTCCCTTGGGATGTGTACTTAGGACTTCTTTTGTCTTGGTTACATTTTCACATAAATCTTGTTTGCTTTAAGGTTTAGAACTGTTTGCTCAGAGAATGTCTCGAGCATTTCCTTCGAACCTTAAGCATTCAACCTTTCGGATTCGAATAGTTGACCTTACTATTCGATCTTTTGTAAGTCCCTTCTATTCGGTAAGGAAGGTCTTTCCATTCTTCGGACTTTGCAACCTTCTGGTCTCGAATTCTTCGACTTCGACTCGAACTCTTCGAAGCTTGTTTTCAGATCATCCGAGATGTAACTATTCGAGTTACTATTCGGACTATTTGATCAGAGAAAATTGAGCTCCTAAGTTTAAAAAGTAAAGTAATTTGGGGACTAAAATTTCTTAACTTTGGTATCATCAAAATCTACATTACAATTGTTCCTAACAAGATATATATATATATATATATATATATATATATATATATATATATATATATATGAGAGAGAGAGAGAGAGTGTGTGTTGTTTTCCTATGCTACCTTGTTTTATAACTTCAAAATGTTACTAGTGCTCTTGCCCAACATTATTGCTTAGTATACCTTGAATTCTTACAAATCATCATAAAGCTGTTAAAGCCACATGTAGAACATGGTGTAATCATCACATATACTGATATACAGTTATACATAGTTGCCTTTTACTTGTTAAAAAAAAAAAAAAAA